ATTAAATCCACTCAGTGGATCAGAATAGCGTGATCAATTTTATGCTTTACTTCCAATTTCGTCATGACTATTGCAGGAATTCCCAGATATACCGTATATCGTTGTCTATCCTTGTGATAAGACGGAACATTTGAGTCTGGTATATCGTATATTCACGTATCACACATAGCAAAAAAGGTAATGACCCTCCTTTTCCTTGGAATTCGTAACATGTTCTTCTTAATTAGAGTCGAACTCGTAGTAGTCTTTTAACTTGACATCAAACCGTGGCCTACGTCGACGTAGATGGCCATCTATTAAGCATTATCCAATTTTACATTGATTTCCAGTGGCCGAATATATTTATTTTTGAGTATTTGCCAACAGATTTACTTGCCAATAAACGTACATATGCGAGTTCCAGGAAGCAGTTCAGAAGAAGAAGACGCGATCACTGGAACAAGAGTTTTATTATCCTGAAGTTTCGGATTCCGTCGGAAATCCTTAATCATAGGTAATGATAACATAGTCTGAGTCATGCGCAGATAGGAGTGAAAAATGCACAGATTGCACGGTATTTATGGTTCATAGTGGTCATCCGCGTGCATACTATAATTATCAACTCCTGTTGTCACCGCTTGGGTCTTAATTGGTGCGGTGATGGCTTCACACTTCGCGTTCGACTCATTAATTTCCGCGATTTCCTTGTTCGTGTTGGATGAGGGCTTGGTAATTGCGCAACAATTATGCTCGTTGTCGTCAGAATTGTTGTTGCTGGACCCAACGATTGGGCGTTCCCATATTACGTACTGAGGCGTTGTCTGAGCAAGAGAATTAGTCACGTGGGAAGATCCGGGCCGGGCAACAATAACCCTGACGACAACGAACATAATTGTCGCGCAATTACCAAGCCCGCATCCAACATAGACAAGGAAATCGCGGAAATTAATGAGTCGAACTCGAAGTGTGAAGCCATCACCCAAGCGGTGACAACAGGAGTTGATGGTTAGAGAATGCACGCGGATGACCGCTATGAACTATAAATACCGTACATTT